CTATATGAATGAACAAAATTCTGAAAAAAACTCGTCAATCTTCTAAAAAAATAGAATAATTTTAAATTTAAGAAAAAAAGATTCAAGAAATCTAAATTTAACAAGAATAAAATGTATTTTCATTGTGGAAAGAAAGAACATTTTATTGAAGATTACACAATCAAACATGTTGGAATCACAATTGGTTCTAGTTTTGAAAATAAGGCAAAATGGTTAAATAAGAAGTCAAAAAACTTGTTGCAATGGTGTTCGATATGCAAATCAGAATGATCACTAAAATTCATATGACTAGTATAAATAAGTCATCAGATTAATGGCTGGATTTTGGAGCAACAATTCATGTCTGTAACAATAAAGAGCAGTTCAAACCAATGAAGAATGTAAAGAACCAAAAAATATCCTTGTGAGAAATTATGTTCCTGTCAAAGTAATTGGAAAAGCATGTTCTTGTCAAAGTAATTGGAAAAGAAACGATTGAATTGAAATCCATTTTAGAAAAAAAATTAACATTACTTAATGTTTTTCATGTTTCTTAAATTAGAAAAAAACTTGTACTTGCAAATCTCTTATATAAGAAAGGCTTTAAAACTATACTAAGACTAATAAAGTTATAGTGTCCAAAGATGGTATATTCATTGGAAAAGAATATTCCAACAATAGTATGTTTAAATTTAGTATTAATGAAATATATAATGTTTCTGCTTATATTATTTAGCATTCTTCTACTTTGTGGCATACTACATTAGGATGTTTTTATTATCAATATATGCATCATATGTCTAAGCAAGGTTATATAACATACCAAAAAAATTAGTACATTAAATGTGAAAGCTATATAAAAGCAAAAATGATTAAGAAACTTTTTTTCTAAGGTTGACAAAAATACAGAATTGTTAGAATTTGTACATTCTGATATTTGTGAATTAAATGGTTTATTAACAATGGGAGGAAAAAGGTACTTTATAACATTTATAAATGATAGTCTATGTATCTAGCTAAAACAAAAGATAAAGTTTTTGATAAATTTAAAGGATGCAAATTTGTTGTTGAAAATCAAAAGGATAAGAAAATTAAAATTCATCAAACTAATAAAGGAAGGGAATATTTTTCAAATTCATTTTCTCTTTTATGCAAAGAAAATGGAATTGTTAATAAAAAATAGCCCTATTATGCACCCCAATAAAATGGTTTAATTGAAAGAAAAATAGAACTTTAATTGATACTATAAATAGTATGTTGTTAAATACTAAATTACCTCTAAATCTTTGGGGAGAAGCACTTCTAACATGTTATCTAGATAATATAATTATTTCCAAGAAATTCTTACAATCATCATACAAACTTTGAAATCATGGCAAAAAACCAAATTTGGATTATTTCAAAGTGTGGTAATGCACAGTTTTTTTACAGAATACCTAATCCTTATAAAACAAAAATTGGACTAGAGATATTAAAGCATTTTTGTCATTTTTGTTGGTTATGCACAAAATTTAAAAGCATATAGACTTCTTGATTTAATACTAATGTTATTATTGAATTTATTCATATAGTATTTTTTGAAAATAAGTTCATATATGATAAAGAAATTGAAAAGAGAAACAAGTTGAAATGGTTCGTATAAATGGAAATAAAAGAAAAGAAAGTAACGATTCTGTTGACCAATAAAGAGTTAAAAGACTAAAAAAGAGAATTTTTTATATTTTGATTTGTTTCTTTAGATTCTATTATCTTTTTAGTAAAATGAGATAAAACCAAAACGCTTAATAAAACACCAATTTTACTAAATGTAAAAGAAAACCCTAAACATTTAGTGAAGTTATGAGTCCTAGAGATATTGTCTTTTGAAAAGAAGTTATTGATGATGAAATGAACTCAAGTACACCCAATAATACATGGATCTTGGTAGATTTACCTCCAAGTTCTAATCTTATAAGACATCAATGGGTGTTTTGAAGAAAATATAAAATGGATGGTTTTATACAAACCTTTAAAGCAAAATTAGTTGCAAAAAGTTTAAAAAAATAAAAAGGCATAGATTATTTTGACACATATGGTCCAATAGCTAGAATAACATCAATCAAAATTCTTATAGCTTTGGCTTCGATTTGTAAATTACATGTGTATCAAATGGATGTTAAGACGATCTCTTTAAATGGTGACTTGAAGAAAAAGTTTACATGAAACAATCTAAAGGTTTTATTCTTCCAAGAAATGAAAATAAAGTCTATAAATTAGTTAAGTCAATTTATGGGCTAAAGCAAGCTCTTAAATATTGGCAATGAAAATTTGAATACAACCATATTGTCAAATGATTTTAAACACAATAGAGTAGATAAGTACATTTGCTCAAAATTTATTGAAGAATATGAATCAACAATATGTCTCTATGTGGATGATATGCTAAGTTTTAGCACTAATATAATTGGCATAAACGAAATCGAAAGGTATTTAAATTCTAATTTTAAAATGAAGGATTTAAATGAAGTTGATACTATATTGAGAATTAAAGTTAAGAGACATAATAATGGTTTTGTACTTAATCAAAGTCATTAAATTAAGAAATTGCTTAGTAAGTTCAAATATCTTAATATATATATATAAAAAAAGAAAACCAATAGTTCATATGATACAAGTATAAAGTTGATAGAAAACCATGGTCAAATAATTGCACAACTTAAACATCCTAGTGCCTTTGGAAGTATTATGTATGCTATGCATTATACTAGGCTAGGTATAGCTTTTGCTATTTGTAAATTATCAAGATATACAAGTATAGCCTAGTAAAAGTCATTGGAAAGCCATAGAAAAGGTTCTTGGTTATCTTAAAAGAACTAAAGAGTTTGACTTATTTTATTCAAAATATCTTGCATTTTTGGAAAGATATTCAAATGTTAGCTGGATCACTAATATAAGTGGCATTAAATCCACGTCAAGTTACATGTTTACTCTTTGACATGGGGTGACTAGCTAGGAATCCAAAAAACAAACTTGCATCTCATATTTAACAATAGAATCTGAATTTATAGCTTTAACTGCAATAGGCAAGGAAGTAGAATGGTTGAGAAATTTATTAATAGATATATGGTTGTGGCCACAACTGAGAACAAAAGTTTCTTGTACTATGATAGTAAAGTTATAATGTCTAGGTTCATAGTGAAATTTATAATAAAAATCTAGACATATTAGTCTAAGACATGGTTAATTGATAAAAAAAAAAAAAGGGATAATTACCATAATATATGTTGAATTCTCAAATAATTTAGTTGATCCTCTTACCAAGGCACTATTTAAAAATTTGGTAAGAAGCACTACAAGTGAAATGGGTTTAAAAATCCTTTCAGACACTAATAACGGGAACCCAACTTTAAATTAGTAACCTTTAGTTTCAAAATTTAATAGGTAGAAACAAGCTATTACTATGTGTCTATTAAATATTAGTAAAATTTATTCAAATCCTAAAGACTAATACTGCTCATTACATGAAGAGGATGAGTTTTATACTCTTAATGGAGTTTATTAGGTAAATATCTAAATCAATGGAGATATAAAAAAAGCTCTACCTATATAGACATAGAAGTATTGTCGTTTCAAAAAGAAAAATTATGATTTTTCTTGTAAATATTTATGAATAAGATAAACACATGGCCATAATAATATTAAAGTTGTTATAAACCTCTAACAGAAAATTAAGTAAATATTATTTGTCATATTTTAAATTCTAATACTAAGAGTTGAAGTTTAATTTGTGAGTACCATCAATTTCATTAGAATTTTAAGGTATATACGCTAATTGAAGATTTAAATTGAGAGATATCATATTATATTAATAATATTTATTTAAGTGAATGATTAAAAATTAAGCACCAATATTCTAAATTAATAGAAGATTGTTGATAGTTTAGAATGTTAAGTTAGATTTTACTCCCTATATTGGATAAAAAAACTTAATTTTTGTATTAAATTTATTTTAAATAATTATATTTAAATATAAACATTTATAATAGTAAATAACGAATGAGTTTTAATTATAAAAATATGTTTAAATACAAATGTTTATAATATTTAATAATGAAAGAGTTGTAACTATTTATATAAATAATTATATTTGAATAAAAGTGTTTTGTTTGTAGTAGTTAATAACAAAAAAGTTATAACTATTTTAAACAAATTAACATGATTATTCATAAAAAAGATGACTGTTCAATAACTATAAAAAAATTTTATGTATAATCAATTTTATTACTTTTATTTAAAGAGTTTAAAATTTTATTATATCCTAAAAATATAAATATTTTAAAAAAATATTTTTCACTCTTCAAAATCATAATTAATTTTTATTATTTCTATCCTCTTATTTATTTTTTCCTGCAATAATTCCATTTCAATGACGTTGATGCCGAATAGGTACAAATTAATCTTGATAAGTTTTTGGCACTAAACCTGGTTTACAAAGGTCGGAGGAAAGAGAGAAGCAAAATGAAGTAGATGGTAACTTGTAGGAATGCAGTGACCCTTTTGGACTCAAGGCATGGGCGACCTGCCCAGGTCTTAACTGGAGGCGTACGTCAACATATAACAGCGACCGGCCGAGTGAATTAAATACAATACAACTATACAAGTACAAACAAACACGACCTTTCTTTCTTGGAAACTTCTCCGATGCTGACCATTCAATCTACAAACGCAACCCATAGCTGGCAATACCTAACCCCATCACCATTTTCCACCACAGTTAGGTGACAACCCCTTCAGGAATTTGGCCACCTCAATATTGAAAATCTTAGGCCCCCGAAACCGAAACATGCCAATCCCATTAAAGAAACTACATCAAAATACAATGAGTGAAAGTATAGTAACCACAACAGATTAATAAGCAATTGGAAACCTTATCCTCTCGTCAGGTAGTGTCAGACTGTCAGTAGTTCTTAAATGTGACAAAAGTAGAATCTTGAATGTAATATGGATGTGGCATACATTTGATAGCCCATCAAAACATAATGTCATTGAAATATTCCATAGGGAATTTTAAGCTCTGAATCAACTTTGGTTGGCCACACTGTACAAGATACATTTTTTGTTGAATATCCTTGCAGTTATCTAATTGCCAATACGTCACGAGATTATTGGTTTTAAATCTCGGAGTAGAACTGGCGCCATATCTACAGAACAAGAGGTGCACAGAACTCATAATTACATATAAGCGCTATATCGCAGCACAGGATCACATGCAACATCTCTTAAGTTATTAGTACATCCAGCAGAATTTGTATATTTTTTGTTTTCTACAGGTTTAAAATGGGGAATAGAAGCAGGGAAGTAGAAGATCAGAACAAAAGAAGACAGAGGAGTATGCAACAGAAGAGGAAAAAACTTATTCGGCTGAGTGACTTATCGGCTTGCATTACGTGCCTTCTGATCCTAGGACTAGTGCTCCCCACAAGATTGTATGAATTTGGATAAGTATATAAATTTGTAATAGAGTCCCCAAATACCCTTGCATATACCATTTCACCAAACATTCGGGTCACCGGATCCAGTGCATTTATCATCATGCCACCAGGACTAAGCATCGGTGAAGCTGGATAACCGCCCTCTTCAGAATAGTACATTTGTGGTTGATATGAATAACCATGGTGATGTATTTGCTGTGAAAACTGCGGACTAGTGTAAGCATTAGGTGATCTTGGTGTACCAACTCCAAGAGCAGGACCAAGAGGTCTCTTTGGTATGACTATACCCAATTGGGGGGTCTTGCCTCTTGATGCCTTACTGGACAGGCCCCGGCCATAAAGAGGTATAAGTGTGCTATCTGAAACTTCAGCTTTGCATACAGGACATTGCTGCTGTTTCTGGTCTTGGTTTTCGGTGGAGATTGTCTGAAAATGAAGCCATCTGTAAATACAGGGCCAGCAATATAGGTGACCACAAAGTGTCACCACTGGATCCTGCACAGATTCCAGGCAGATGTTGCAGTCAAAACCGCCGGAGGGACTGTCCTCTGAACCTGTAACTGAATCTGGTGAATTCTTCCTCTTCTTCAAGGAATTTTTACCTTCTCCACTTAAATGGTTATGAGCTACAGCTTCTTCAAAGTACTGCCCAATGGCCATCTGATGCCAAACTCTGCAACATATATGTAAAAGAAACCAGATTAGAATCATGATCTTCCTCATTGCAGCTTTAGTATTATATATCTTACGATCAGTGAACTCAAAGATCTTTAACATGGAATAACATTAAAGTTACCAATGATTCTTTTCACAGTGTTAATTTACTTTGAGCGGAAAGGAGATTTCTTTTGAAAGAAAACTTCTGAAAGAGTTAACAACAAAACAAGATAGATCCCATCCCAGCCGCCCATGTTTGATGGAGAATTAATACAAGTTACATTGCTTCATCCTCAAGCAAAATTATTGCAGAGGATTATGCCTAAAGGCAAGCTGTGCAAAAGCAGGATGTGATAAAGTGAAGAACTTTTCAAATTTACTCTAGTGTAGCCTTTGAAGATGTCTCCATATAGACCTGAAGAAAGTTGAAGCCCTATATATTTAGGAAAATTGCAAAACCCTCCATTATTCAGTTGTTGAAACTTGAAAATTCAACCAACGATAATTCCAAAATTTCCATTCGAGCCTAATAAATCAGAGACAATTATTCAGAATGTTGTTGGATTATTTCTGAAAATTGGAGAGCCTTGGAAAAAATGATCATGAGTGATTATTTAATACTATGTTTCTTCTAGAATGGAAGTAATCCCCAACTCAATAATTTTTTCTATAGACCAAAATTATAATCCAAAAAAAAAAAATGATCAAGACAAATACGATCAGTACACCAAATTGTGAAAAGCATTTTGGTTTCTGTGTATCTGCACTCAGAAGAAAATGGTATTATTATTTATTATTATTATTATTATTATTATTACCTATCATATCCAATCAAATTCCATCAAACCTTGAGATGATAAGGACTGCACTTTTCCCCTAATGAGGACTTCCCAGCAATTGTATAAGATTCTTAAAACATAAAGATAGGTCCAGGAGTATCAAAATTTTACATGGCTCAACTTCACACCTCTAAAGCTGATGCCTGTAATATGTAGTTTAATCTGAAGAAAACATCAAGGAAAGAGAGGAAAGATAGAAAAGTTGAAAAAGATGAACACCCAACTTCAGCTTTTTCCTATTTTCTGAACCGGGTGAGGATTTCAAGGGAACATAAAATAAAAAACGCTCAGCTCTCAAAGCCAAGTTTAGCCAAGAAAAAAAAACTCTTTTTTTTTTTTTTTTGCACATGAGAAAGACTTAAAAGTACCGAATTCTAGAAGAAATGAAAGAGAAGCTATTCAGAGAACAATTTTGAGGCTTGTAATCCCTCCAAAGCTATGGAAATTTGATCAAAGAAACTTCACTTAGACACTAGAAAATCTTCAATTAAAACGAACACCTTCTTCATAACTTGATTATAGAACAACCGCCCACCAACCAAAGAATAAAGAAATTTAAAAAACAGAAAGTGAAAGAAACAAAGTTTAAAAGTTAAAAGCAGAAACAGAGACTTATTGGATATAAAGATCCTCAATCCAAACATCAAAAAAAAAAAAAAAATCTTACCCAGATAAGAAAATAAAACACACAAAATTTATACGTAGGAAAGTTTGCAGAACATACCAGCTAGTTGAGAAGTCTCTTTTACGCAAACTTGATGAACAGAGGAGCTATTTTTTCTTAATGGAAAATCTGGTAAACTCTTCTTTGAAAGAAACCCAACAAAAAAGGGGGTTGAGATGGAATAAGATTTGAAAGCCTTAAGGTAATGAAAGAAAGAAAGAAATGAGAATGTGGAGATCAAAGACGCTATCCGGCTCCACTTTTATAGAGACAAATTAAAAAAATGTTTTAAAAGAAAATTTAATAATACTGAGACGAAGCAGAAGATAGATATTGTCTTGTCGCAAGGTGAGTTTGTTAGTCTCACGGTTCCAGCTGTCGTACGTGGCACCCTCTGCACTTCTCTCTTTATAATTTTTAATATAATATTTAAAAAATATAATTTAAATATAAAAAATGATAAATTTTAAAATTTAAAATATATTGATATTATTTTTAAAATAATTATTTAAATTAATTAAATTAAACTTGGAATTTATAACAATAAAATTGGACAATTGAATCTTGAACATGATTATTTTCCATTTTTAAGACCCAAATTACTTTTTTATACGGATTGCCACGGGTACTGATTTTAAGTAATTTTAAATTTCGCAACGTTAACAAGGTTTTATCAAAAGCATATCCGTCACATTCACAATAAATTAAAATGTAAAATTATTATTTTTCTAATAAATCTTGAAAACAATATGGACATCTCTTGCATTAGAAATGATGATAACTACTTTTCAATATCGGTGTTCCTTTCTTCTATACAAATTAGTTTTTCTTTTCATTTTGCCACCAACTTTACTAATTGGACTAAGAATTTTCCACGTCTAGGGCTTTCTAGATTTTTCAGAATGCTTGTTTATAAAATAATTAATAAAAAATTTAACCTAAATAAATTATAAATATTTATATAAGATAGTATCACTTTAAATAACAAAATTAAGAATGTTAATTTCTTTAAGCACATTGAAAATCATGAATATTGCGTATCACTTAAAAATGATTACTGAACGGCCAATCGGGCTTGTTGTCCACGTCCTAGATAAGAAGATAACTATGCATCCATGATCGACCGCATCCAAGTTTAATTTTTGTTTTCTAGAATTAACTTCATTATTATCGTCATTTCTGATCATCACTTTCCAAGTCGTTTTGTCATGATATGCCACTTGACTCATCCTTAAGTTATAACACTATTAGTAAAAACCATCATTTAATTTCCATTGGGCCCAGTCCTTTTCAACTGGGACTACGTCTTTTCACTACTTATGGCCATATATTAATGCTATGCTGGAAAAAATTTGTAATCTAGTATTATTTATTTCGTTTAATTTGGAATCAAATTATTTAAAAATAAATTAATAAATTTTTATATTAGTTTTATTAATTAAACTGAATTTAATCATTTTAAAATTTTAATGGATTGAATTTAATTTATTAATTTTTAAATTAATCAAATAATAAAATATATTTAAATTAAATTAACATACCATTTAATCATTACTTAATGAGGATTATAATTAATATTAATTATCCTTAATTTTCCCCAAGGGGTTCATAAGGAATTTTAGTCTTTTTTTTTTTCTAATTAATACGTGAAAATGTTAAGTTTACTATTGGGAAAAAGCTTATATTGGTTGAAACATTGTTTTCCCTATATATCTTTTTTATAATTAACATTGCTGAGCAAAGAGCATGGAACAAATACGTGGGCTGTTTATCGAACAAAGTCAAATACATTTTTGTTTTTCTTTGGCTATAAATGAAGTCAATGGTTTCCACATATACCATCGATCGCCAAGCATGCCTGATCTTTAGTTAATTTATTTTATTAACTTTGATGAATTTGTTCATGTTTATTTTTATTTAGAAACTCTTAAAAGTTGTGCTCAATCAATAATGACGTCTAACTGTACCCTTTATATCCTACCTTCAGTTACGATGCAATTGCCATAAAAAATTGTCACTCGCAGCTTTGTAATCCAAATAATATTTCTATGCCGTCCGATTTCTATCAATTGCTGCAGCTTTGAATTCCAATCCACCATCGCCCCTTCTTTTTTGTTTTTTTTTTCTCCTTTTCTTCAAGGTAACCACTTAACTTTTTTATTATTTTTATTTTTATTTTTATTTAAAAATTATAAAATAATTTTGTTAACTTAATAAAATAAATATTAATTATATAATAAATTAATAAATAAATTTTAATTATTTAGTAACAAATTTATTATTTGACATAAAATTAATTTAATAATGTTTTAATATTTTATTAATTTTATATATTAAATAATTAAAATTTTTTGTTACATATAATTTTTAGTTTAATGTCTTGAATAGTCATTTTTCTTCTTACTACAATTCATTTCATCATTACCATTACTTTTACATCCAAATACATATTTCATTATTGATTTTAATCTTACTGCTACATAATCAATTTCACCTCCACCATTGTTTTTTATTTCATGATAGCCAATCTTAACATTCATCCAAATGTACCTTAAGCAGAAATTTTTATTTTCAAGGCCAAAATAAACAAAAAGAGAATGAAAAAAATAATAGCAAGAGAAACACGTGACAAATTATGGAGTACATGTTGAGTAATTTTTATATCAAGTAAATCCCATCTAGGTCCTCTTATTTTGAGTATAATTCAACACAAGTCCATTAGTTTGAAAAATTGATAATCCATCCCAAACTTCTTAACTTTATTAATATAATTTAAGCAATTATAAAACTACCCCTTAAACTTAAATTTATTGTATTTATATATATTATCATTTATTCTACATATAATAACAAAAATTATTTATATTTAAACATCATAACTCTTTAACTTGAGTTTACTTATTATAAATAATTTTTAATTTAAAAGAAATAAGCTTGTTGATGGTATCATGATCACTTCATGTTTATGAAGATGGTTCCAAGTTTGCTGCTGGTTGATGTACATCCTTTACACCGATGGTTGAATATTGGCAGAAAATAGAGAATCGAAAACTACAAGGAAATGGTTTCAAGGCATGTTATGAAATCATTTTCCTTTAGACTTATTTGCCCCCACCATTTCTTAAGATGTACTAAGGGTTGTTCAAATAGTTTACGAGATACAGTAAAGCCTTATTTGAATTCACCTTGCATTAGTGAGATTTAAACCATTAAACACTATTGAAGAGGCATGAAAATATTTAGTCTTAGATTAATTTACTACAACAAAACAAAGTTTAAGAAACTTGTCTTTTTTTAAGATTGAGTGGGAAAAGAATTTGGCAGAGTTTCTACACATATCTTTTTCATCACTAAACAACTTGCTCCAAATGACTTCTAGCCATCTCTATTTATGATTCTAAAAGTTATGTCCTTTAACTTGTGTCATTTTAATGAAGTAACATGTCTTTATAACTTAAAGACACCTTTATGAATAATTATAAAAATAATTATTCACCTTTCTGACAGTGAAAGATCACCTATGAATAAGTCTTATTCTGAGAGAAACCATTTAAGAAAATCACACTTTTTGGCCAAACAAAATGTTGGTATTCGAATGCCTTTCACAGGTATTCGAATACCCTAGTGATTTTCCATCTAATATCTTGAAATAGTGAAAGGGAATTCGAATATCTTATAAGAGTATTTGAATACCCTCAAATAGAAAGCTAGTATTTGAATACGATGGCATTTAAATACCCTTAGCCAAAACTTCACTTCTCCAACACATAAATGTTTTCCAAAAGATGTTTCGTGCTTACTTACTTTGATTTCTCATAATTCGTGATTAAGCCTTATACTTTCTTTTTTTAACTTAAAGAATATTATTATTAGAAAAGAAGAGTTACAACTAAATCCAAGCTATTAAGTTAATGTTTCAAAGGACACCAAACTTAGCAAAGGAATGAAATGGTTTGCTTCCCTAAACACATGAAGAAAATATTTTTTTTTTTAATCTTTGCCCTAGCAAATAAGTTAAAGAACTGGTTGAAAAGGTCATTATACTTCCATAGTCTTTGATCATTATTATTGATTTACGAGATAATCACTTTTGAGTCACTTTCTAGTGATTAGCTTTAACAATAATTAAGAGAGCCTCAACAACAACTAGAAGTTTCATTAAGTTGGAATCAACAATGTCTATATTCTTGGAGAAGATAAGCAATACATGCCCCTTATAGTCTTAAAGTACCTCGTCGATTGCTTCTTTTTGTATTTTGCTATTCAATGGCCTTTAATTAATCTTGATTTTCTGTTGTCTAGACCCTTTTTTTATTCATAGATTGAGAACCTTTTATAGGGATTGAATCTCAATTTAATTAAAAAAACTTTAATTCCACCAGATCTAGAAAAAATCTCCAATATTCAATTTTTTGTAATCTTCCTTTTTTTCAATGAATTAATGTTCAAGAATTTCCATAGGCACTTAATCAATAAATTTCAAAATCCAAAATTGAATCCAAGACCAATCTGAAAGTGAATCCAAGATTTCCTATCAATTTCCAAATCTCACATTTTTCTTTTTTCTTTTTGTTGATTTTTTTATTTTTGTTACCAATTGATTTGACTCTTTTGACTAAAAACAAAAATTAAACTAAAAATTAAACTAACAAAATTAAAATACATATAAAGTTTAGGGCATAATCTTTAGGCCCAAAGTTTAGTTTTCCAATTAGGGCCCAATTGTATAATAAAATAAAAATTTGAAACCCAATGAATTTTGAAAAGTCCTTAGACAAAATGAGGTGTCTACATTGGATTTTACTTTTATTGCATGTAAGGTTATTATAAAAGATTGATGCTCATTCGAATCATGTTTATTTTGTCCTTTTTGCATGTTGGCTATTTGTGGAGGAAGTAGGGATAGTAATGGTTTTGGTTAGGGTATTTCGGGGTTGTCCTTGCTTTCTCCCTTTGGCATTTAGCTACTACATGAACTTGATTAGGGGTTGTAGTGGTAAAGACTATTGCATGGTTAGTTGTGTCTTTCCACCATGTTGTCTAAATTAAATTGGAATAAAAAGGGTAGCATTGGTAGGATGACAACCAATTTTGGAAAGGTGTGTTAAGAGGATCGAAATTTTTTTATTTGGAATCTTCTTTCTATTTTTTTTTTTTATAATAAACAAAGGTTTTAAAACATGAGGCCGAAAGTTTGTTTGTTTGTTCCCAATGAGGTTTATTTTCATGCATACTTTATACCATTCATGTCCATGCACATTTTCTGTTATGTTGTTTAAGTTTAATTATAATTTAAATTTCATGCATTTTTTATTTCTTTGTTGTTTAAATTT